TCTAGTCTCCCTTGCAGGTGCAGGGACCCAAGCACTTGGGCCATCCTCCACTGCTCTCCTGGGCCACAGCAGAGAGCTGGACTGGAAGAAGAGCAACTGGGACTAGAACTCGGCACCCATATGGAATGCCGGTGCCACCAGGTGGAGGATTAGCCAAGTGAGCCACGGCGCCGGCCCCAATGAATTTTTTTTTTAAAGATTCATTTGTTTGAAAGGCAGAGTCACAGAGAGGGAGAGGCGCAGAGAGAAAGAGAGAGTGGTCTTCCATTCCCCGGTTCACTCCCCAGATGGCTGCAACGGCCAGAGCTGGGCCAATCTCCACTGCTTTCCCAGGCCATAGGAAAGAGCTGGATCGGAAGTGGAGCAGCTGGGACTCAAACTTGCATCCACAAGGGATGCCGGCTCTGCAGGTAGCCACTACATCACAGCACTGGCACCCATGCCTGCTAAATCTAAGAACATTATTTACTCCACATGAATGAAGTCACTGTAAAATACATAGCACGACCCTCCGTTATCAAGCTCTATTCAACAGTATAGCTCAGGGAATCTAAAATCGGGGGGCTGGGGGAAGTCTCTTATTAAAAATAAATACCAGAAAATACAAATTTGAAGACTAATTTCCCATATCCAAAATACTATTATCATGCACATGCAAATTTATTCATTCATATTTAAATTAAGAACATTTGTAGGGGCCAGCGCTGTGGCATAGTGAGTTAAGCCACTGCCTGCGGTGCCTGCATCCCATATGGGCACCAGTTTGAGTCCCAGCTGCTCCACTTCCGATCCAGCTCTCTCCCATTGGCCTGGGAAAGCAGTGGAAGATGGCTCAGGTCCTTGGGCCCCTGCACTCGAGTGGGAGATTCGGAAGGAGCTCCTGGCTCCTGGCTTCAGATCAGCACAGCTCCGGTTGTTGTGGCCATCTGGAAAGTGAACCAGCAAATGGAAGACTTCTCTCTCTCTGCCTCTGCCTCTCTATAACTCTGCCTTTAAAATAAATAAATAAATCTTTTAAAAAAATTTGTAGAACCAGTATGTTTTTCCTACTCACTTTCTTCTTTAAATTTAGTTATTAAAGAACTCACAGAAATTTATCACAAGGGGCCAGCTTTGTGATGCAGTGGGCTAAACCACTGCTTGCAACACAGGTACCCCATTTCTTTTTTTTTAATTTTTTGACAGGCAGAGTGGACAGTGAGAGAGAGACAGAGAAAAAGGTCTTCCTTTGCCGTTGGTTCACCCTCCAATGGCCGCCGTGGCCGGCGCGCTGTGGCCGGCGCACCACGGTGATCCGATGGCAGGAGCCAGGAGCCAGGTGCTTTTCCTGGTCTCCCATGGGGTGCAGGGCCCAAGCACCTGGGCCATCCTCCACTGCACTCCCTGGCCACAGCAGAGAGCTGGCCTGGAAGAGGGGCAACTGGGACAGAATCTGGCGCCCCAACTGGGACTAGAACCGGGGTGCCGGCGCCGCTAGGCAGAGGATTAGCCTAGTGAGCCGCGGCGCCGGCCAGGTACCCCATTTCTGAGTGCCCAAATGTCCAGCTCTCTGCTAACCTGCCTAGGAAAGCAGTGGAAGACGGCCCAAGTGCTTGAGCCCCTGCCATTCTTCACTTGAGAGTCGATGGAGTTCCGGGCTCCTATGTTTGGCCTAGCCCATCCCTGGCGGCTACAGCACTTGGAGAGTAAACCAGGGGATGAGATTGATTGCTCTTTCACTCTCTCTGCCTCTCCGTCCGTCACCCCATCACTCTGCCCTTCAAATAAATATTTTTTAAAAAGTTTAGTCATGAAAATTCAAACATGTAAAATCTCTTATGTCTTACTTTGCACTTTACAAACTTCTGACCAGAATAGAAAAGACTGCCATCACTAAATCTAATCTGTACTTATTTTAATAGTTTGAGCACAAAGTATTTCTCCTCTGACCTAAATGACTACTGAGGTTGAACCAAACCCTTTTAATTGAGATGAATTACCGTATTTCTGCATGAGGAAGCACTAGACCATAAACATGTATCTAGGAAATGCCTATCCTAATAGAATTGTATTATACACATGTTTCCATAGTTGCTATAATTTCAAAATAGTAACTAAAATTACACTAGGAAAAGTGTTTTAAAATAAGAAAAATAGAGCTTCTTTAGATTTTATAGTACATTAGTTCTACTGTTAAATAAAAGCAATGACACATATCAGCAGAAAGATTTTAAAAATTAGAATTTATAACTCAATCTACATAAACCAGTTCCTACCTGGGTAACTTAAAAGCTGCATTATGTTAATCACTGAAGTACAGCTTCAGGTGAGGAAGGCTAACAGTTCAACTTCCACATTTCACAGACTAAGAGAATAGCACACTGACTTTCTCAAGGTCACTTAACCTGCGTGCTAGCTTCAACTCCTGACCCTCCTCAAGCCCAGCTCACTGCCATTTCCACTGCTCCACACAATTCACGTTGAAAGCATTTTCTTCCCTACATCCAAAATTGATTCAATGTTTTATTGGTTTTCCAAAAAAAAACTTTTAAGTATCTTCCAAGACACTTGCAGACACTTCATGCTGTTACATGAAAACCCAAGCAAGATGTTTAAGGAAACAGGTTTACTGATCAAATACATCTAAATATCAGTTGCATGATAATTTCCACCATCCACAGAAGAACTGACTTTGAACCGTAACTTCCTAAAAATAAATTTCCTTTATTCCTACTTCCAAGTTTACCTTTTGAAAATTTCAAGCAGCTAGGCGCAAAAATCAAAACTATAGCTTATAGTAGGGAACGTTTTTATTTAGAAAAAGTTCCTTTCAAAATTTTGTTGGATGGGGCCGGCGCTGTGGTGTAGTGGGTAAAGCCGCTGCCTATAGTGCCAGCATCCCATATGGGCACCAGTTTGAGACCTAGCTGCTCCACTTCGATCCAGCTCTCTGCTGTGGCCTGGGAGAGCAGTGGAGGAGGGGCCAAGTGTTTGGGCCTCTGCACCTGCGTGGGAGACCGGAGGAGGGTCCTGGCTCCGGGCTCTGGATGAGCGTAGCTCTGGCTACTGCAACCATTTGGGGAGTGAACCAGCTCGCTTGCTCGCTCGCTCTCTCACTCTGTAACCCCGCCTTCCAAATAAATAAATCTTTTTTAAAAAAAGATTTTTGCTGCAAGCTTATCCCTCACATTCTCCTACAGTACTTGAAAATTCTTAACAATGGAGACTACTGATCAGAATTTCTTTCATAGAAATTCAAATAGTAGCTACCAAAATGGCTTCTAATTTGTCTAAAAGATTAAAAAAAAACATTTTAACCAAACGGTTGAAGATCTGTGTACAAACTTCATAAAGTTTGCAGAATGAATCGCAGTTCGAATATGTTAACATCTAAGCCATTAGGACCGTTAAGCTGCAAAAAAAAAAGGGGGGGGGCAAAAACCTTTGCTGTTTCCTCCTCAAAGTCTCCATTCAAGTGAGGCTGAGCGCCTGCTCACATCCCTTCTGTCTCCAGTCAACATCTCTGATGAGAGGACAGAGACCCAGGGAACGGTTGTCTAACACAGCCCCGAGGGCAGTTCCTCCTTTCACTGGGGGCCAATCTGAAACATGTCGCCCGTGAAGAACTGAAGCGACTTTAAGGCGTCCGGGCAAGCGGGGCTGTATTACCACCTGCCAACACGATTCTGTAATCGACGAAGTAGAACCTCGTCCCGAGCATCGTCACAAAACTAGGGGCACAGCACGCACGCCATGCCTGAAAAGAGTACAACTGCTTAAGGCAAACCTTCAGGGGAGCCAAGGGGGGTGAGCGCCGAGCCGTAATTCGCCCTTAGTTAGGGATCGCCCCAGGACCAGGCAGAAGAGCCCCCGATATTAGCGACGCAACCAACCATCCCGCGACGGTGACCAGCGCGGGGATGCTGCGGGCGGCCGGTGGCCTCGACGCTGGCCCCAAGCCCGAGGAGTTCCACTTAACAAAGAGCGAGTCGCGCCCGAAGCCCCCCGGAGCGGAAGGGACGCCTCCCCGCCGCGCCCGCCCCGCGACCCTCCCCAAGTTCAGGGCCCGGCAGGCGGAGTCGCGGCGGGGCCTGCAGCCAGGCCGAGGCCCGCCCGGGCCGGAGCCGGATTTGCGGTCGGGATGCGGGAAACAGGTAAAGCCAAGAGCAGAAACCCCAAAGGGAAGGGCCAGCGCTTCCCGGCCGGGGTCTGCACCGCTGAAAAGGGGAACGAGCACAGGCGGGAGGTCCCGGGCCGAGGCGCCGCCGCCGGGCCCTGCTTTCTGGGGAACCGCCAAGCACAGCGGACTGGGCGCCCGCTTTGTTACCGGCTGCGAGAAGCTCCGGCCGCCGCCGCCGCCGCCGCCATCGCCCCCGCCCCGGGGCGTCGCTTCCCGGCGGTTCTCGCTTTCCTCGGCCGAGTAGTCGATCTCGCCCTCCTCGGTCTTGAGGCGCTTGGCCTGGCTCTCGTACTCCCGATCCTCCTCGTACGTCTCCCTGGGGGAGGAGGAGGAGGAGGAGGACATGGCGGCGGCCGGAGGGACTGGCGGGCAGGCGGTGGGGCGCGGGCCTCAGATGCCGCCGGCCAGTCCCTGCCGCGGCGGACTGAGCTCTCGGCGGCCCGAGCGTCCGCGGCGCCGCGCGCCCAGGAGCCGGGTGGCTGAGGAGAGCCGGCGGACTGAGGGGGGCGCCCCAGGAGGAGGCTCCCGAGCGGCCGCTCCCCTTTATCACCGAGCCAACATTCAGCCTTTCCCTCCTCCTCAGTCTCCGCTCCCAGCCCCGGGGAGCGAATCTAAGGATGGGAACGCAACCGTGGCTTCCGGTCTTCCCTCCTCCCCTTAATGCGCTCTCCGCCGCCCAGGCCGAGCCTCCGCCCCCGCCTCCGCGGCCGCCGTGGAGGATCGAATCCAGCCGCAAGCCCCCGGGAAGCGCCCCCCAAACCTGGGTGCCCGTTCCCTATTGGCAGGAGGGGAAGTCGACCAGGCTTCCAATTGGCTGAAAGGGCTGTTCGTCAAAATCACTCCCTGCGCCTTCTGAACTGGCCGCCGGCCTGCGAGTCCCGGCGGCGCAACGCTTGCGGCGCGCGGTCGGGGAGCCGTTTGGTCTCCGTGGCCGTTGGCGCAGTTAGGCTCCTGCCGAGGCGCGGCTCGGAGTGAACGAACTTGGGCGGGTGAGGAGGCGTGCAGTGGGGCCGGGGCTGCGGGTGTTAACCGCCCTCCCGCTAATTTAAATGCTTTTATGACTTCTCTTCTTCAAACGAGAACGGGAAAACCCTCTAAAGTCCCTGCAGACACACACACACACCCCGCAGCCCGAGATGAGGGAGACAAGGGTTTGGGGCCATGAAATTTGCCCTTCCCCTCGGCGGAGCGCAAACTCTGGTACAAATGGGTGGACTCCGCCGCTAAGCTGCTTTCCAGCCTTTACTGACTGCCGGCGAGATGCAGGCTGGAGGTCCTGCCAGCGCCTGTCAGCTGGGTCGTCATCTCTCAGGGGGGATCTGTACTCCTCTTACAACTCGTAGGGGGAACCCGTGTAAGGTCCCAGATACATGTGTGTTTTCACCCTGCCAATTAAAACCTCAGCCCGATTCTTTCCTTTCTGGACACTCTATTTCAGTGTTGTTTTTTGTTGTTGTTGTTTTTGTTTTTGTTTTAGATTTATTTATTTATTTGAAAGGTGGAGTTACAGAGTGGCAGAGGCAGAGAGAGCAAGCGAGAGATCCTACATCCACTGGTTCACTCTCCAAGTGGCAGCAATGGCCAGAGCTGCGCTGATGAGAAGCCAGGAGCTACTTCCAGGTCTCTGAGGCAGGTGCAGGGGCCCAAGGACTTGGGCCATCTTCTACTGCTTTCCCAGCCACAGCAGAGAGCTGGATCCGAAGCTGCAGCCGGGACTCAAACCAGAGCTGCAGGCGGCCGCTTTACCTGCTGTACCACATCGCTGGCCCCTCATTTATTTTCAAGACTTACAAAGCCCATCAAAATTGTATCTGTCCTTCAGATCACAGTTCACTTATGTGGAGCCCTGAGGATTTTCCCAGACCTTTAGCTGTTGCCTTTTTACGTTGCAACAGGGTCTTGTATACCTAACTCTTAAGATAGCCTATTGGGTTTTTTTTTTTTTTTAATTTATTATCTGAAAGACACAGAGAGAGGTCTTCCATCTGCTAGTTCATTCTCCAAATGGCCACAATGGCCAGAGCTGAGCTGAGCTGAAGCCAGGAGCCAGGAGCTTCCTCCAGGTCTCCCACTTGGGTGCAGCACTTGGGTGCTGCTTTCCCAGGTGCATTAGCAAGAAGCAGGACCAGAATCAGAGCAGCTGGGACTCAAACTAGCACCCATATTGGATACTGGTGCTGCAGACCCTCTGGGCCACAGTGCTGACACCAAGATACCCTGTTTTAAAAACCAGGAGCAAAGCCGGCGCCGTGGCTCAATAGGCTAATCCTCCACCTTGCGGCGCCGGCACACCGGGTTCTAGTCCCGGTCAGGGCGCCGGATTCTGTCCCGGTTGCCCCTCTTCCAGGCCAGCTCTCTGCTGTGGCCAGGGAGTGCAGTGGAGGATGGCCCAGGTGCTTGGGCCCTGCACCCCATGGGAGACCAGGAAAAGCACCTGGATCCTGGCTCCTGCCAGGATCAGCGCGGTGCGCCGGCTGCAGCGGCGGCCATTGGAGGGTGAACCAACGGCAAAGGAAGACCTTTCTCTCTCTGTCTCTCTCTCTGTCCACTCTGCCTGTCAAAAATTAAAAAAATAAATAAATAAAAACCAGGAGCATGCAAGGACAGAAGCTGTGCACTTTGCATCCTAAACCCAGTTCCTGTCCAGTCCCCCTGCACATAAGGTTTTTGAGATTGCTGAATGGGTGGTCCTTGGGAAATAAGGGCCCAGCGTAGCTTTCAGGAGAGAAACTGGCAAATCTAAGGCAGCCCAACTGCCCTGTTTCTTAAGCTTGGAGGACTGCCTGAGATGGAGAAGCCCTGCATTCCTGTTGCCCTTGACCTCACGCGCTTTGCCAGGGCTGTCTCTTCCTTTCCTAACTGTGGATTTTTTGCTCCTGAAGCCTCGTTCTCTCCAAAGTTATTTCTCCCCACCCCCTGACAAAAAGAAAAAAAAAAAAAAACTTACTGCTGATGGAACTTTAACATACATTGTCATTTTGGAATCCAATTGCAAGCTTTTCCTCAGCACTGTATAACATCCAATTTGAGCACAGCTACAGGTATACATTGACAAAACAGTACATTAAAGAATTTTTCGTCTAAATTAGGATAAAATGGAAGTAGACAAAAGAAATCTCCAAGAAGGAGCTGCAACACTTGCTACAGATGAGAAAAATAACCTTAAAAACTGCTGCAATGGATTGTGAAAGCAAATAACAAGCGAAACAATTATATAATTCTGTGTAAAATCTGTTCTGTTTGATTGAAATTTTCTCCAAGATTCAGAATGTAAAGACAGTGCCTGACCTTCAGAAAGCTGGACGATAACGATAAAAAAAAAAAAAAAAAAAAAACACCACTAAGGTCTTAAAAACCTAGGTTGTATGTTACCTTTAGCATCCTCTGACCCTCTTTTAGTAGGTTCAGGATCAAAGATAAGAAAGAAAGGTGAATGAATTAGTAACTTGCTTATTGAGGAATCTGCCTTGAAACGTGAGGTGGCCAATCCTGAGATATTTTCATTTTGCTCCAATTAAAAAAAAAAAAGAACCATGAGCTTAAGACTTTGAATTATTTTTGCTTTAGGAGAAACACTAGAATGTTCTGTGAAATGACTGGGCATGATCAGTAGCACTGGTTATTTGTTAAGTCTGACAAACTACTTGTTACTTTTGTTTTCTCTGTTTTCATATGTAAGGTGAATTTGATTGAATATATTATTCTATGCACTCCCAACCGTGAGTTTAGTAGGCCTTTTACAAACATTCCAAATATTTCTTGTGATGCTGGAAATCTCTTACGTTCTCGAAGTCTGCATTCAGCCTATGGATCACACCAAGAGAACATGCAGCTCTTAATACCCATTGGATAAGGAACCCCAGACTTGCTGAGCCTAGCTAGTGTTCACCGCAACAGTAGGCAGAAGTCAATAGATGCTATTATTGAACTTTATCCTTTTTTTAATAGCTCAAATAAAACTGCTGAGTTAAAAGAAAAAACTGAAGAAGTAAAACTTAGCGTTTTGAAAGAATGTCTGTCAGTTCATTGACCGTGGATAACATCCTGGCTCATTGTAGAGGAATTGCTCAGATAGTGACTGTAGGTTCTTTGTTAAGGAAAATGCTAGCTAGCTCATCACCGCACCATGACAACAGCCAAAGAAGGAAAACATAAATTATATTATGATTTAACTTAGGTGAGATAAAGAAATTACACCCCACCCAGGAGCCAGAAATACCTTAGAAAATCAGAAACAGCTCCTGAGTCCCATGACCATTTGGAGCCTCTTGGATATTCTGGCCTCAGACCTGTGGCCCATTTTCTGAGGGCTTGATTGGGTTGCCTGCTGTTTAGGGCAGGCAGCAGCCAAGAACTCCCATTGCCACCCTCAAAGGGGATTCAGAAATTAACTCAGCATAGGAGACAGACCTAGCGAAATTGACAGTCTTTCATAATTTACCCCCAAATTTCCCTTTAGTTTAAATCCCATTACCTCTGTAAACTATTAGTGTGCTGGGTGATTAGGGATCTAAAAATAATATGAGTTGATACCTGCCTTCTCAGAGCTTGCAATCAAGTTGAGGAAACAAGACACATAACCAAGAAATAGAGTACAAGAAGCATATGTGTAATAACACATGTGCAAGGGTAAGTGCAAGCACTTAGAATGTGCCAGTCACTCTGCCAACCACTGAAAGGGTCGCGTCAGTAGATTCGGACAGAAGCCCTCTGCCAGAGGCATTATAATTATTATTACCCTGTGCATTGTACACTTCAGGAAGTAATCTTGGTTTCTGCTCTAGAGCCCCATGGCGTAAACTGGAGAGCCAGGGTGGGCAACCAAGCCATAATTATTCATTAGAAGAATGATGGATAAATTATTGTATGGTTTACTACCATGGACATAGAGATATAATTTATAGTTACTTATCATGATGCTAATTTATCCACTAACTGTAATTCTGGGGGAAGAGGTGAGTAGGTTATCATTTTCACCATTTTCATTTGTATAAAGAAATTTAATTCACTTCTACAGGAAATTATAATACTGTGTTGGGTTTTTATATTTAGTTTCTGTAGAAAAAGCCCAGAAATTATGTGAAAAGTGTCACCATTTTCTAGTGGATAGATAAATTTGAGCAACTAACAATGTAAATAATGACTTTTTCATACCCAAACTCGAAGTCCAGTGTTGTTACTATTTCATCGGATACGTAGAACTTTCATTTGCTGCCTCAGCTCCTGTAAAAGTCAAACAAAACCTTCATGCACTCCTTACCGTGAGCCACATTTCCAAAGGATCGGAGCTATAAAGGCGTAGCATGAAAATTGAGACGATGTATTCAACGTGAAATTCAGCTGTTCAAAAAACAAATCAACATGTTCTTTTGAAATTTTGTTAAATCCAGGGTTCCTTGTTCCTGATCATACCACTTTCCTTGTTTGACAGAGGTCACCAAGAAAGAGCATATGGCTGGGTTTCAGATGGCAGGCCCTTTAATTCAACCCACTTTGGTTAGCTATGGTGAAAGGCAGCCACAGTTCCAGGAGGATGCGCCTGCAGGAAATGCCTCGAGCTCTATTAGTTCAGAATGTAGTCAAGTGTAACCACAGTGGTTCCTCTTTCAGGAGCTGTCATGCACATCTGCTTTGGGGTTCCAGCTGCCAGTGTTTGGCCTGTATTAAAAAAAAAAAAAAACTAAAATCTACAAAAACAAGATAGGTTAACCTTAGAACTGCTCAGTCGCACACCAAGTAACATCAGGTAAAGTTCAAGTCCTTGGGGTTTGTTTGTAAGGTTTTAATTTTTTAACTTTTAAAAATTTATTGGCAATACAAGGGCCGGCACTGTGGCATAGTGGGCTGAGCCTCCACCTGTGGTGCTGGCATCTCATATGAGCGCCAGTTCCTGAACTGGCTGCTGCTTTTCCAATACAGCTCTCTGCTATGGCCTGGGAAAGCAGTAGAAGATGGCCCATGGGGGCTGGCACTGTGGCATAGTGGGCTAAGCCTCTGCCTGCTGTGCTGGCATCCCACATGGGTACTAGTTTAAGTCCTGGCTGCTCTACTTCTGATCCAGTTCCCTGCTAATGGCCTGGGAAAGCAATGGACAATGGTCCAAGTGCTTGGGCCCCTGCACCCAAGTGGGAGACCTTTCCCTCTGTCTGTCCCTCTCTCTATCTGTAACTCAACCTCTCAAGTAAATCAATAAAATCTTTTTTTTAAAATGTGTTTATTTGAAATACAGATGGAAATCTCCAATTCGCGGGTTCACTCTCCAAATGCCTGCAACATCTGTACCTAGACCGGACGAAAGCCAGGATCCAGAATTTAATCTAGGACTCCCATCTAAGTGGCAGGGATCCAAGTACCTGAGCCATTACCTGCTGCCTCCCAGGGTGTGCCTTAACAGGAAGCTGGAAATGGGAGTGGAGCCAGGACTCGAACTCAGGAGCTCTGATGTGGGATGCGAGGGCCCCAAGCTGTGTCTTAGCCTCTATGCCAAACACCCCAAAAATCATATTCTTGCCAACAGTTATAGCCACTTACCCTTAGTCTTAGAATTAATATTTAAATTATTTTTGCTTTTATGTGAATTGATATTTCCTTGGGCATTAAAAATAATTATGATAAATACAGACTAAAATGATAATACTCTGTCTATAGATGGAAGTAAATGGAATATGTCACTTAATTCACCTTGCATATGAAAATATAGATGAAATTAACAAGCCAGTGTGCTCATACTTAACAAAAATGCAATCAGTGCTATTGATCACTCCCACTTATTTAACAGAAATAATTTATTGTTTCTCCTAAAAAATAGCTCAGGGGTTAGTATTGTGGCACAGCAGGTTGAACTTGGCAATGCTGGCATCCCATATCAGAGTGCGGGTTCAAATCCCAGCTGCTTCACTTCCAGCATGTTGCTAATGCACCTGAGAAGGCAGCAAATGATGGCCCAAATGCTTGTACCCCTGCCACCCATGTGGGAGACCTGAATGGAATTCTGAGCTCCTGGCTCTGGCCTGGCCTGGCCTGGTGTGGCCCAACCCCTGGCTGTTGCAGCCACTTGGGGAGTGAAGATCCATCCCTCTCTCTCTCTCTTTCTATCACTCTGCCTTTCAAGTAGGTCTAGAAGAGAGAGAGTGAGAGAGAGAAGAAAGAAAAAGGAAAGAAAGGAGGGAGGGTGGTGGGGAGAGAAGAAGAAAAATAATTCAAAGTTTTGAACTCTCAGTTCTTTTCTGTCTTCTTTAGTTTGAGCAAAGTGAAAATATCTTGGGAATAGCCCAGCTCATCCCATCAAAGAAGTTTCCTTGGTAGGCAAGTTACTAATTCACTGAGTCTTCCTTCTTGGTCTTTGAGGCTGAGGCCGCTATAAAAAAGGACAACAAATGACAAAAATAACACATAAATAGACCTCGGTGTTTTCACCCTTGCAAGTCTTCAGCTGTCAGAGCCAAGCACCATCTTTGCATTCTGAATGTTAGGAGACATTTGAACCAATTAGGATTATCAAAGAGACAATTGGTATATCAAATCAAAGTAGAATATACAAAATTGTATAATTGTTTCCCTTGTTGCTGCTCACTGTCCCAAAACATTACAGTACTTTCCTTTCCCCTAAAGAAAGCCAGGAAAATAATGGGTCACCTTTACTTTTAAACAGAAAAAAAGTGTTTTACCTCTACATCTTTTCTCTGGTAACCACAAGTCAAATGTGGGGTCTGGCTTAGACCTGAGCTGTCCAATATAGTGGTCACTGGCCACATGCAAGTACTTAAATTTAAATGAACTAAAATAGAATAAAATTTGAAAGTCAGAATTTGAGTCATGCTAACCACATATAAGAGTGGCTGCTGCATTGAACAGAACTTCTAGCTCTATCTCATTCATCTTATTAAGTTATTTTTTTTAAGATTTTATTTATTGGAGAGGTAGAGTTACAGACAGAAGGAGAGACAGAGAGAAAGGTCTTACTTCTGCTGGTTTACTCCCAAATGGCTGCAATGGCCGGAGCTGGGCTGATCCAAAGCCAGGAGCCGGGAGCTTCTTCCGGGTCTCCCACGTGGGTACAGGGGCTCAAGGAGTTGGACCATATTCCACTGCTTTCCCAGGCACATTAGCAAAGGGCTGGATTGGAAGTGGAACAGCTGGGGCATGAACCGGCCCCCATATGGGATGCTGTTACCTAGAGGCTTAGTCTACTATGTCACAGCTCTGGCCCCTGAAGTTTTATTTTTTATTTGAAAAGCAGAGAAAGAGAGAGATCTTCCATCCACTGGCTCACTCCTCAAATGGCTGCAACAGCCAGGTCTGTGTCAGACCAAAGCCAGGATCCAGGAATTCCATCCAGGTCTCCCACATTTATGCCAGGGGTCCAAATACTTGGGCCATCTTCTGCTGCCTTCACAGATCCATTAGCAGGGAGCTGGGTTGGAAGTGTAGCAGCCAGAACTCGAACCCACACTCATATGGGATGCTGGCATTACAATCAGAGGTTTAACCCACTTGTGCCACAACACCGTCCCTCATTTATCTTTGAGCCCTCAACCCTTTGAACATTGCCTGGTACGTAACAGGCACTGCTAGACATTTGTTGATTAATTTATACTTCTCTTTCTGTGGCTCAAGAAGTAGCAGCATGTGAAACAAAGCATGTAAACTCTGCAAATTACTTCTACTCGGGTGTCTCAAAACCTGACCTATAATTTAATTTTCTCCTAATCTATATTTGAAATGAGGTCATTTGAAAAGTATAATTTCATTTTCCAATGAACTAAACAGGTACACTTCATTTTGTGCACTGGATGTACCAATATGTGTATGATTTAATTTAGTAAGTCAACCAATTATAAATAAATGTGAGAGGCATTTCAACAAAAGATTGCCTATTGTGAATATTTTCAAAAGTGTAAAGTCCTTTACAAAGCACATCATAATATGAACATCAGAATTTGCAGTGAATTGAGTGATTATCAAACAAAAATAGTTTTCTTTTCTTTTTTTTTTTTTTTTATTTTTGACAGGCAGAGTGGACAGTGAGAGAGACAGAGAGAGAAAGGTCTTCCTTTGCCGTTGGTTCACCCTCCAATGGCCGCCGCTGCAGCCGGCGCACCGTGCTGATCCGATGGCAGGAGCCAGGATCCAGGTGCTTTTCCTGGTCTCCCATGGGGTGCAGGGCCCAAGCACCTGGGCCATCCTCCACTGCACTCCCTGGCCATAGCAGAGAGCTGGCCTGGAAGAGGGGCAACCGGGACAGAATCCGGCGCCCCGACCGGGACTAGAACCCGGTGTGCCAGCGCCGCAAGGTGGAGGATTAGCCTATTGAGCCACGGCGCCGGCCCAAAAATAGTTTTCTTTAAATGTGCTATTATAACCATCTGATGCTGGACATTTTGTAGGATTATTACTATTATTATACACAAATACACAGTACCGTGTCATATGTCACTGTGTGTGACATACATGCCTCATTTTCTGCTCACAGTAATGTTGCAAGATAGGGCAGGTCCTCACTGTCTTATGAAGTTCAGAAAGATGCTCTTTTTTTACTTTAAATTCCCATCTTCTTTTCACTATACCAACAGGACACATGCACAGTCTATGGTGATTATGTTGAAAAGAGAACTTTTAATTATTCTGCCCCATTTAGATGGAAACACTTTCCAGGTAATTCAATTTTTAAAAGATTTATTTATTTTATTTGACAGGCAGAGAGAGAGCGCTTCCATTGCTGGTTCACCCCTCAAATGGCCACAATAGCTAGAGCTGGGAAAGACCAAAGCCAGGAGCCAGGAGCTTCCTATGGTTCTCCCATGTGGGTGCAGGTGCCCAAGGACTTGGGCCATCTGCTGCTGCTTTCCCATTAGCAGGGAGCTGGATCGGAAGTGGAACAGCTGGAAGTCAAACTGACACCCATATGGGATGCCAGTGTCATAGGTGGTGGCTTAACCTGCTACACCACAGTGCCAGCCCTGGTAATTCAGTTTTTTAAAGCAACTTGTTATTTGTGTGAACAGAAACTAGTATTTTATATCTCTGGAAAAATTATATCTCAATACCTGTTCACAGGAGGCCTTCAAGGAGTAAATATTTGCTGAAATATCCATGAATATGTGAGTGGTGCTGAAAACAGAGTGGACTGCATCAGTCTAACTGCAGAGAACAGGATGTGCTCAAGTTGGTGTAAGATAGAAGTATCAAAGCATTTAAATAAGAGTTGAGAGTGCTTAGGGAGTGACCCTCAAACCACGCCTCAGAACTGGAAAACCAAGAGCTGTGCTCATCCTCCCTAAGAAGCCAATAGATCCAGCTCTGCACCGCTGTGTAGTCTAGAAGCCACCATGATCAGGAAGGTGCCACATCCATGGCCGGCTGCAGGATCACACGAGACCAACTCTAATCTGCGGAAAGATGCACCACCACGCTTCCTTATACTAACAAAGTGCATAACTGCACACTGGAACCCTACAGGAGTGGGCCTCTGACACCCCTGTTACAGAAGACAAAAGTGCCTCCTCAGCCGTGCCAAACGCAGGGACAGCTTTCCTGGTCTTACACAAAAGCATCTGATTGTTGAAACCTAAGTTCTTGCATAATAAGAGATGCAAGACAGGATGCAGTAATAGCTGGAGGATGCAATTTTTGGCTTGCCGTCTGCGGTACAGGAAAGCATGGTTGAAGGAGGATGAAACAGTTATT